CTCCCCCGTGGCTGTAAGCATCCCACCTCCTCTCCTACACCTGACAGGGAGCTGCCTGTAGGGGGGGAGGGGGGAGGAGTATTAGAAGCCACTGTGGAGGCAGGGCCGGCAGGATCACTAAGGTGTTGCTGCTGGCACGGGCTCCCTCATGGCTTTAATCACCCTGCAACCGCTGCTGCACCTGACAGACAACCACCTGTTAGGTGTAGGAGGTGGGGGGATTGTGTTGGAAGCCATAAGAGAGGCTGGGGCAGCAGCATTACTGCACCTCACAGGTGGTTGCTGGCCATTCCTGATTTCCTCAACTGTCATGAGCTGTCTGCAGTCTCCTGTAACTGTTGTTTTTTTTTAACCACAGAACACTGAGCTCTGCAGCTGACCAATCAGAGTGGGGGGTGCAGGGAGGTAGCAACCTGGCAGCCGCATAGGAATCAATTGGGGGGCACATTTTACCCCTTTTGACCCCTTTAGGGGTCGAATTTCTAAAAATCCCTTCTTAGTGAGCACCTACTTCAAGGTAGGAATGCTCTCCTCAAATCTGGTGTTTCTAGGTCCAGCGGTTTGGCCTGAGCTTTGATTTTGTGGTGAGGGGACTTTCTTTTATATATATATATATAGATGGGAGTGTGTTTTCTCCCACCAAATACTAATAGATTGTGGAGCATTTTTAGGGAATTTCTGGATCAGACCCATGGACCCATTAATTAAACTAATTATCATGTTTCCCTCAAGGAACTCTGGAACAATACATATGGCTGCTTTCTGAAAAGTCTAATAACTTCTAGTGGTTACTTCACAGAATTACAACTCTCAGGGTTCCTGAGAAGGGTGGGGATACATGACAATTGCCAGTTTAATACTGTGTGGGAGGCGGGAAAGGGAACAGCTGGGCTAATACTTTTGCTTTATTGTGTGGTGAATTGCTTTTTCAAATGGATGTCATGTGTACATTAGAACAGGTCTAGTACTTAGTGACTTCTAAAACAACCATGTGACACCAAAAAGTACAAAAACAGCATTTTTTTTTAATTCTGATTGCCAAATTATTTAAGGCAGGTATAAAAATGAAAGCATTCAATATACATTTTACATAAAATAAACTAGATTACAGCATAAAACAAGTAACCAGGCAATGGCATTAAAGTCTCTCTTCTAAAACGGGATAATTGTAAACATTAAAAAAAAGACTGCAGGACTATTCAAGTAATAGAACAATCACAGACGTCTTCTGGTATGCAGGCTATTGGGTTATTTGCCATTCAAGATTATAAAAAGGACATTTCATTATTCACAGATGCTCATTATTTCCCCATTTAAAACCTATACATTATGTACAACACAGTTTTTGTGGTACTGGCAACCCCATGCCTTCCAAATGTATATTCTTCACAATACACAATTACAATGAAACGGTTAATACAGTAACATTTTACACTGATGCATCTTAATAAGAGCCACCAAATAGACATCTAAATTGTACCAAAGTGTCATCGTCATCACAGTTAGCCTCTATTGAGGGTTGTGGGCAATATTAGAAGGGTATACAAGGTTCAGGCACACAGATACATAACATTAGTTATTTACAATTTAAAAAAGCAAAAGGAAAAGAAATGACCTTTTGTGGTTAACACTTTCTAAACAAGACAAGTACACTTTTTTCATTGTGGTTTACAACTTAGCAGCAGACCCTGTGTGCGAGCCTGATTACTAATACAAAAAAGTAAAGAATATATATATATATATTTATATTTATATATATATAAGCATATATATATATATATATATAAAACAGAAGTCTAAATACAGCAACATTTGTAACTCTGTGATAAAAATCTGCAATTTACAAAAATGAAATGACTTGTTTTTGCCTGCCATTAAGGCATTTCAAATTAACACCATGGAACTGATGTCTGTAATAAAGCGCTTTTTCATGTGATCCGGTCACATGAGAATGTACATTTCCAAAATCATCATTCTCTGAAAAATAAAAGGGGGGGGGGAGAGATTTTAGAACAATGTCCCTTTCAATGTTTTATATCATTAATCAGCCAAAATAAAATGAAATCAAAAGTTATGCTGCAGCAATGCTACAAGAACTTTATTATTGTAAACTGCAACAAGCTAGTTTGTATTTAATTATATAAAAGGTTTCCATTTCCTTCAAAAGGGTGGAGAGTAATCCTATTTAAAAGCAGATAAATTATTTACTAAGAAATACATATCACAGATTATGTGAATTCAAGTACTCCCCCAATTTTCCACTAATACTTTGTTTCTTACAAGTGAATAACAATATAAGAAAGAGATTACAAAAGGGCATATATGTATCTATAAGGCAAAATAAATTGACTTCAAAAATAGCAGATCCTGCCCCCACCAACCCCCCCACCCCCAGTCCATGGAGTTCTAAATGACCTGCTTTGACATGATGGGTAAGATATGTACAAATATTTCAGGAGACAATAGCCTGCTTCAGTGATTAATTATCTGTGCTATGGTAACAGCTCCACAGGAAAAAAGCACACTTTATCCTGGAGAGAATAATGTCGCTATTAACTGAACAAAGCAGCTGCCCTATAAAGACTGAAGTCTATGCAGCTCTCTACTCTTGAAACCTGCAATTTGCTTCTTCTCCTCCCTATTAAGATGTCTGCATGAGTGTAATTCAAGGTTTACAGGATATTTACCTTCTTTGTGCAGGAAACATACCAGATGCAGATGCCTGAGCAGCCACCTGCTGAGTGGCAACAAGGGCAGCAGAGGTCAGCCCTGGAGGAAAGGTGAAATAGTATATCTCAATGGATGCATTTTCTCAGTTTGCTGGCACTCCAGAACGTCGACAATAGCTGCGCCCTCAGTTTTAACAAGACATGAATCACAACAGCACCACTGCACTTTGTGTGAAAGGCATACATAATTATTGCAGGCAAGCAGAAGGAATAAAACTGGCCTGCCTGCTCTAACCAGCACGCCTTCTTAAGATTTCTCCTAATAGGCATTTTATACAGGGAAGAAGGCATTCCGCCTTATTGTATTCTTTTCCAAGTACCGCACTGCATGGTGCTAAATGGCTTGTATGAATTCCTGAATAGGAAGCTCTATAGAAATAATAGGCACCAGGAAACAACAAGAATCAAAAGTCACAGTGAGTTACAGCAACGATGTGGTAGCTACTCGGAACATAATACTTTCATAATAGCTATCATTTTAACATTTTTCCTTTTGAATGCACATAATGTATCCCATAAGGCATATGGAGCCACTGAATTGCATTTGAAACAGTCAAGATTTCTACACAATAAAGGAACTGTTAAGGTTCTGAATGAACATAATGAGTTAATACCATTTAAGCCAAACTGTACAGCATCTCTTTGCTACAGGTGAGAAAAATCTGTTTTTCAGATTGCTAGAATACAGTAGAAAAAGGCTCTAACTGCATCTTACTGAGTAGCCATTTGCACTTCCAATAATATGCAGGGTGTGGATGTGTGTATAAAAATATAGACCAGATTCTAGAGTTGTAAGAGTTTGAGGACTCATTGAATGGTGTTTTTTTAAAAACATATATCTTTGTTCCAAGAAAAAAAATCACTTCATATCATGCCTTTAGTACTGTTTGCACAAGGTAAGTTATGCAAAGTGCTTTTCTTAAAAAAAAAATCACCTCAGTTTTCTCACCAAATGTACTACAAATTCACATAGCATGTCATTCCCACCCATAATACAGTGCGAACAAGTCCAACAATCTAATATTATATCAAGCAAAACTGACAGTAACCTATTGTTTTTAAAAATAGTACTATGCTTGCTTACTTATGTTTATTAGCTTCTATGACCAAAGGTCTTAAGCTCAATTATAAAAAAATAGTACTATGCAAGCATTAGAGAATACAAGTGGGGACCCGCAAGAAACTTGTGGGAGTGGCTATCTCATTCCCCCCACCTCTGCTTCTTCCTCCCTACTCCTCTCACACTCATTCTCCTTCCTGCTACCCCTTTTCTCTCTCTCTTTCTCTCCCTCTCCCCCTCCCCTCCATACCTGTCACTTCCTTTCTGCCCCCACCCCATTACTCTTTCTACCCCTGCCATTCTCCCGGCCTCCTATCTACTTCCTCCCCCCCTCCAGGAATCACAACAGATTGCCCAAATACAGAGCTCAGTTCCTCTTAGGGTTGCCAGCTCCATGTTGGGAAAGCCCTGGAGATTTGGGGGTGGAACCTTGGGAGGATGAGGTTTGAGCTTGGAAGTAACCTCAGAAGGATATAATGTCATAAACTCCACCCTTCAAAGCAGCCATTTTCTCCAGGGGAACTGATCTGGAGGTAAGTTGTAATTCCAGAAGATCTCCAGCCCTCACCTGGAGGTTGGCAACATCAGTTCCTGTGGAGGAAATGACTGCTTTGGAGGGTTTATGGCATTAGATCTGACTGAAGTTCCCTCCCCACCTCATTCTCCACCATCCCCAGGGTCCACCCCTCCAATATACAGGAATTTCCCAACCTGGAGTTGGCATCCCTATCTCCTTACCACCCAACCAACCTTTATCTGCCCCTCTGTCTTAGCTTTCCATCTCCTTTCCCTCTGCAGTTTCTAATGAGGAAAACTATGGTCTTCCTCCCCAGTGGGGACAAAAGCAGTTGACATTATTCTCTCCTCCTTTTTATCCACACAACAATCCTATGAGGTAGGTTAGGCTGAAAGTATCTGACCGGTCCAAAATCACCCAAATCCACCAAGTGAGCTTCCAAAGCAAGATGGGGATCTGAACCTGGGTCTCACAAACCCTACTCTGAAGCTCTGACCATTATACTATACTGACTATCATAGCGTAGCTGCTGTTGAACAGTAGCAAGCTGCCAGGCCTAGTTGAATCATGCAAGTCAGGTGGTATCAAGTCACCCAGAGAGTGCGGCTAGGCCTAGGTTTGCCAGCCTCCAGGTGGGGCCTGGAGATTCCCCAGAATTACAACTGAACTCCATAGAACAGAGATCTGTCCCCCTGGAGAAAATGGGTGGACTCTGAGGTATTATATCGAGCTGAGGCCTCCCCAAACTCTGCATTTGTCAGACTTCACCACAGAATCTCCAGTATTTCCCAACCTGGAGTGGACAATCCTAGGCCCAGGCCTGGCTCCAAACCCCCTGCTATTTATCCATTCATACTGCAGGAGGAATCCTTCCCAATCCGAGCTTCAGTCCTGCTTTTGCTTCCTGCCCTGTCTATCTGTCTGTCTGTCTGTCTAGCTATCTCAGCTGATCTCTCACTGGCCTGGAGTAGATTCCTGCGGCGGCCATTTCAAATGGTATTTGTTGGGAGTGATTCAACCCTTTCCAAGGCTTTTTTTTTTTTTTTCGTTTATTTGCAGAACCACAGAGTCCCCTGAGTCTGTAGAAAAACCTGTTGGGGGGGAGTGTGCCCCATCTGCAGAAATAAGTACCCGCACACAGAGGGGACCGTTGAGAATTAGATATACAGATAATTGGCAAAAATGTTTTATTCTGGCACCTAGGTATGAATTAGTCCGAATATTATGTTCATAAATGTTGTTGACAGTGCAGCTGCCAGACTGTTGGCTGGTGTGACCCGGAATGCACGTGTCCATCCTGTACTGCGACAGATCCACTGGCTACCTATCTATTTCCAGATCAAGTTCAAGGTGCTGTTACTCCTTTATGGTCTGGTACGGTCATATCTGAGGGACCAGATCTCTCATTATAATCCCCTTTGTATGCTGCGCTCATCATCACACAACTTGTTGCTGGTGCTAGTCCCCCGAGAGGTCCACTTGGCTACCACCAGGACAAAGGCCTTTTCCACCTCGGGGCCCTCCTGGTGGAATGCCTTGCCAGACAAGGTTTGAGCCCTGCGGGACTTTCTGAGCTTCCACAGGGCTTGCAAGTCAGTCTTATTCAGGGAGGGCTTCATCTGATCTTGTTCTGTTGGCCCTCCTGAAACTCATCCACCCATTCACTTCTTTATATTTCACTCATTATTTATGAATGGCTAGTGTCTGATTTTGTTATCTTATATATTATGTATTTTTATATGCAAGTTGTTTTATTGATGTAATCCGAACTGAGCCTTTGGGAAAGGGCAGAATAGAAATCAAATAAATAATATTTTTTAAAGTTCAATCACTTCAGTAGTTCTACTGAAGTACAGTGCAAGCTGACTCACCTTGAAATGGGTCATATTGGCCTGGAATTAGTGGGTAGCCCATTCCAACATGAGTGTGGTGATGTGTATGAAGATGCCGCTGGCTAAAAGGGGAATGCCGATCACGCTCCCTTTCTGCTTCCCTCTCACGCTCAGCTGTAGATTTTTCCATAGGCTGGTAATTAAAAAAATATTAAAATAGTCAATGTAATCTCAGGATGCAGAAGATCACAGTCAAACACACATTAGACTGGGGTTGTTTGCAATCATCACTCCAGTTACTTTCTGTCTTGAAGAGGATACCATTTCTCACAAGGTATGGTGTTGCTCTTCGTAGCAAGACATTAGAGGATTTGTCAGTGTGACAGAAGAGCTTCACATCCTCTCCTTCCCCATCAACTCTTTGGACCTCAGTTACTTTACATTCTGCTTAGCAAGTCCAAGTTCAACCTCCGGCACTGTGATTCAAGTTGTTCTCAATGCCATTCTACTTAAAGCTGGGAACAAAACCAGCACTGAGTTGGCCTGAGAAGCAGAAAATCCATTTTAATGGAAGGTTAGGGTAAGTGGCTTTTGTTTTAGCAATTAAAATGTGTTCTGACATTCAAAACCACAGAACTATTTATATTCTGACAGGGAAACTGCAAAAACTTTGCAGAAGGTCTTATCCAATTCTCTTTCTGCTCAATATATGTCTGTGTGCATGCGACACTTTGTTTTTACAATGAAACAGAGTACCCAATTCATCTACAGAAATTAATATAGGAATTAAAATTTAAAACCTGTCTCCTTATCAGCTGAATGGCAGCTTATATCAGTGATGCAGTCCATCTTCTCTTTTCATTTTAAGTCTCAAAATAAGAATATTTTACTATAGTGTAGCAAGGTGTGGACTCCCTATACCTATAAATTCCCATCCAAATCTACAGAAAGCCTCATTCAACATATTAATCAAGTCAGGTGCATAACAGGAAGACAGCGAACTTGATTCTTCAATTACCTGTTCCCCTGTGTCAATGAAGGATTTCAGACAGCCTACCTATTCCATTTCAGGAACTGGTTACTAATGTTTTTTTCCTGTCATTTCAGACAGACCTATTTTAGTAACTGGTTCCTAATGGAATATATTTACCTGTTCATACAATGCCGGTTGTCTCCCATTTTGGAAGCGTGCCTGAGGCGTTGTTGATTAAAACTGTTTTCCTCAGTTCTTCAAACTCTTCTTTCCAGGCCCATAGCTACATTGCGGCATTTTGGGGGCCAGCCCCCTGACTTCCTTCCAAGGCCCCACAAGTTTCCCTGCATCCCAGGCCCCCCAACACTCTGGGCCTCCCGGAGTACTCTCCCCCCCTCCCCGCTGCCACTGCCTCTTCCCCAAGTGGGGCTTGTTTGAAGCGACTTCTCTGCCTGTCAGCAGCCCTGCTGGTTCCATCCTGGGCTAGTGGTTGGGGGGGAGGGAAGGGGCTGTGGGTCCTGAGCGCTGGACAGGAGAGACATAGGAGGACCTGACCCCAGCCAGCTAGGGGCATGTTGGGAAACTTCCCTTTGAAATTAGTAAATGAGTGGTGGGGGGAAGGGTCCAAGCTGGGGAAGCTTTAACTTTATTTTAATCAATTTGGTGCCCCCTAATTTAAATGCCACCCGAAAAAGGAAATCCTGGCTACGGGCCTGCTTTTTCCAGATCTGAATTGCTACAGTGGGGTGTGTAAAATGCCCCGTAGCACTTCCTCCAGTGACAGCTTTTTCGTGCCCTTTCCTCCCCCCCCCCCGGCTCGCAATCTCTCCTCTTTTAAAAAAATGTTCTATTGGGAGCGCTATGATGCTGAAACAGAACGTCAAATCAGTGTCATAGCGCTCCCAATAAAATGTAAAAAAAAAAAACCTCTCAGGGAGATCGTGCACGCAGAGAAAAATGGTGGGAAAAGAAAGAGGCACAGTTTGAAATGGCCACAGCACTTCAGAGACAGCTCCTTACCGGAAGGGAAATGCTATGTGAAACAGCCATCCTTGTACCGGTTTCCTCCATGACAGGCCAATAATGGAAACCATGCGTTTTAAAAATGTGAAATTGACCAATCCCTCATCAAGCTGGCCTAGGATCCTTGTACATTGTCTCAGAGTGGCTGCTGAGATTGAAGTATTTTTACTCTTCCCCTCCCTGTGATAATATTCCTTTGTGATACTGCACATACATTATCACAGACTAATAACTACAGCAAGCAGCAATAGTTAAGGTGGTGAAAAGGCAGCCATGGGGGGGGGCGGTTTCGGGGAAGCTTGGTGGGCCGAGGAGGAACAGGACCGTTTCTATTATGTATAAGTAGGAGGATGAAATCCCAGGACACTTCCTGCAGCTTGCCTCCAGTCTTCCTGTCCCCAATACTTATCTTTCTGAATGCATGCAATTCTGTACTAATAAGAAAAGATGTCTTACAGCAGGAGACTTGCTGCGGTACTGGTTGGCATGTTGTTGCAACAAATCCAGTGCTTTTGATTCAGTGGTTGATTTTACATTGATGCTAGGGCTGGTGTTGACTTTCTCCACCTCTTCTCTCCCTGACATCTTCCCATAAACAGGATAATGAAACCCTGGTGAGAGATAGGCCCCTGCAGATGAACAATAAACACCATATCAAGTTATTGTTTACATGGGAGGTGGAAAGTACAAGCACATCAAATTTAAGTCATGTGATTAGGAAAAGTTTTTTACATGTGATCTGCCAGCCCTCCCCGAGATAATTCAATCTAATGAATGTGGTTATAAAGAAGGTTAAGCTTACAGCCATTTCAAACATTTATAGGTCCTCTTAAGTGAAAGGAATAGTAACTATAATGGTTCTGACAGTAAGTGCTTAGAATATTTTTATAGGCAATAAACTATCTGTCAGTGTAATGGCCATAGCAGAATGTCACTGGTTGCGGAAACTATATCTGGGAATGCTGACAGTTCATAAAAAGAAACAGCTTGTGTTAAATCTACTTCATTCCTAGAACTCTGCAAAACAAATATCAACATGAAGCTTCTAATTTTTCTTTGCTGCTAACAGGCAGTGTCAAAATATATGGGCAACTGCACTATTTACACATGTCTAGCTGTACTCAGTACCCACCTGGATAGCTGTGCATGAGGACAGGAGACACAGCACGGTATGCAGGATGATTGGGATCATACATCTGTGGGTAAGGATAAGCATGCAAGTATTGTATATACGACTGATGCTGAGTCATTGGAGAGGAGACAGCCACTCTGGCACCCCGTGACTCCTTCCAATTTACAGGAGTCTTTCGATCATCATTTTTTATCTTGTTCTCCTCTAGTGACTGGGAATCAGAACGCTTGACCTCCTTGGGCTCCTCTTTAATGCTGTTTAATGAGACAGGAAGATTGGAGAAGGAGGCTTCCTTATTAGGTGTTTTTCTGGGGCTCTCTTCTTTTAACTTCTTTTCACGTTCCAGTTCCTCTGTTTTTTGTTGATCAAGATATTTTGGCTGATATACATAATGATGCCACGTTCTTGTATCTGGGTCCTGATATGTGAGGGAGGAAACAAACATACAAACCCTCAATTTGCTTCAAATTTACATGTTGTAAGAACAATCTGCATAGCAACACTGATCCAAGGAAAAATCTATCCTGTGGTCAAAATGCTGACAGCTAGTTTATTTCATTGAAACAGCAGACCTCATGCAATGTCACACTTTGTTTTAGACATTTTCCTAATTTGCATAAGCAGTTTCCAGTATATAATATACAAACAAACAAACAAAGAGAAGAGTATAAAAGAGCACTGAGACACAAACGTTTGGGCTATGGTAGAGATGTATAATTTCTACACATTTTGTTGCTAAAAATGGATGGAGAGGAAGGTGTCTTTTTTTGTCCTTGATACAGGGTGTAAAATGGAAATTTGGGCAGAAATTGAAATATATGGAATAACAGCACAAGCAAATCTCATAAAATAATCAACTTTACCAATGTAAGAAAGGAATAGAAATGTGGGTATTTAGTCAAGTACTATAAGTAATACTGATCTTCTCCAGTATATAACATGAAAAGTTGTGATCTTATGCATACTTATCTGGGAGCAAGCCCTACTGAACTCAACTGGGACCTGCTTCTGGCTAAACCAAGCACAGGATCAAGTTGCTAATGTCATAGTGAATTAAGACAAAAGGTAAGACATAGTAAACTAAGACAAAATTAAGACTTTGACCTCCTTCCTGGAAAATACTATCATAAATCAATTTTATTTAATCAAAATCAGTATCTTAGTTATCCACAATTTACAATTCTGAACTCTGAGCTACAAAGGGAAGAGTTGCATGAAAGTAAATAACCTTCTCAACTCTTTCACCATAGGTCTATTCCTTAATTATTTGTGAGCTCTCAAACATTTACCAGATTCTTTCATTTGACACTGAAGATGGAGAGATCTGAGGCTCATGAGAAGCAAGAGGAGTCAGATGCAGTGGGTATGCAATGGCTTTGTCAGTATGCTGAAAGACCAAGACACTTGGAGACTCCCAAACTTGGACCAAATTCCTCAATATGCTCTGCATTCAGCAACCTTTTCAACACCATCCTAAATATGTTGGTTATTTAGTTATCTAGTCAAATGCAGCAGCAGTCCCATCATAATTGGAATTGCTAGCAGCAACACAACTGCTGAACCATGGATCTCTGCTTTAAAATTTATATTAACACTAATCGTTCTGAAGTGAATTTCTAGAGCATCATGACATCACTTCCAGATAAAACCAGAAGTGATATCACAATGTCACATGATGCATTGATCCCTGCTTACCAGTGGCTCTGCTGATTTTCAGTATTTAGCTGGCAACCCTAAAACGATAGGCTGGATCCAGATTAGATTTTCCACTAATGCAACACACTTCCATCAGTGGAACAGAATGTTCCTCTCACTCCCTCTTACTGAAGCCCAATGATCTCCCTGCAATGCCGCTCCTGAGAAACAGAAGACAGACCCTCTGGAACAGCATGAGAGGGCAAATTGGGGAGCTGTACCAAAAAGAGGGAATTGATGGAAATTACCCCAGCTCTTCCATTCATGGAAAATGTAGTGTGGATCCAGCCTAGATTTCTGGGCTACATAGCAATAGTATCCAAAATACAGCACAAAACCATGTTGCGTGGAAATTACGCCAGCTCTTCCATTCATGGAAAATATAGTGTGGATCCAGCCCAATACCTAGATTTCTGGGCTACATAGCAATATATTATCCAAAATACAGCACAAAACCATGTTGCTAGGATTGTACCATGCAGAGAGCAAAAATACTTTCTTATAAAACAGAATGGGTGCGTTCAGACGGGGTTTTTACAACGGTTAGGGTGCCGGTTCCAACCGGTGTACTTACGGGCGTTCAGATGGCGAACATCTGCCTCCCGTCCCTAACCGCTGTAAATCCTTTTAAACCGTTGCACTTTGCCACTAGGTCCGAAGTGGTGGTAAACAGAGTGCAACGGTGGCTTCCGATGAACCCTTCCGTCTGATCGCTCTCCTCCGTTGCACAGCCACTTCCATCGGAAGCCTGAGGCTTCCGGCTTTCCCCGGCCATTTTTTTAAAAAAACTAAGCGATATGCGCTCAGGCGAAGCTTCGCCCTGAGCGTTTGTTTGGGTTTTTTTTTTTAAAAAGCCCTTACTTTACCGTCCCGGAGGAGTCCGGGACTACAGGGAGGCCAGGTTGGGCTTTAAACTTTAAAGGTAAGTGCTTACCCTTAAAGTTTAAATGTAATGGGGGGTTTTGAGCATGCGCAAAATCACCATTCTCTGAATGGCTGCCTGTGCGCATGCTCAAACTGCTTTAAAAAAAAACACGCCGACGCCCGCAGCGTGTGAGCGGGCGTCCAACGGAGGGATTCACAAAATGGAGGGTGAGTCTGATCGCGTTTCTGCCGGCATAAACTGCACCGATTCCAACCGGTGCAGTTTATGCTGGCAGAAACGCCCCGTCTGAACGCACCCAATGTGTGGTCACCGTATTTAAAAGGGATAACAATATAATTAAGAATAGCTATATGTTTCCCTACCTTTTCTACAATAAAGCAGACAGGTAGAACCCTTTGTTTTAAAGGTACAGGTTTGAAGTTGTGTGTCTGTAAAAAGTTATGCTAAAAGCAGTCCTAAATCCTTTATAACGGATACTTACATGGGTTAAGATCTATAAAGCCTTATATCAAAACCCAGTTTAACTTATGCCATCTCGGTATCTTATGTGCAATGATGCAAAAATGATCACTCACATACAAAAGTCTAAACAAGAAAGACAGGTAGTTAGAACAGTCTAAACCTTTATACAGGCCTCTGCCATGGATGCTGAGCTTGAGATTCTCTTACAACCTCAGGGGTCATCCTGAAGCCAACAGATGTACATAAATTGTACATAATTTGAAAAAGGCCAGAAATATACACTAAAAGCTGCATCGGTATCACTTTACTGGGTGTTACTTTACTACCTATTTATTACTTACAACCAATGAAGACTTGAAGCTATTTGAGTCCCAATGATCTCACCTGTTTAAACCTTGTAGTAGGATCTACTCCAGTCTGTTTCATAGAATCCATAACAGATTTCATTTCCACAGCCTCCTTTATAAGCTGGTGGTTTTCCATTTGCTTTGCTTTGAAGCTGTCAGACTGAAGCTGTTGCTGATGATTGGAAAGAATTTGTGATTTGCTTGGATCCTCAGTTTTATTAGGGACCGATGACCCTACTTTAGGGTTGTTTTTACTGGCTTCTGGAGTAGAAGGAGCTTTTGAGATAGTGGCAGATGGGATATTTTTCAGCTTGTCATCTTTTCCTAGGTCCTTCAGAGGGAGTTCATTTTTCCTTTCACAGTCTCTTCCAGTTTGTGCCATTTTCTGTTCAGCCAATCTCTGGTCCTCATAATATTTTTCATATTGCTGCCTGTAAGTAGGGTTAGAGGCCATTAAGGACTTTTGGTCCATGTAAAGCCCATAAGCATACTGGCCATAGTAAAGTGACTGCGCAAGTGCAGGATGTCGTTGAGTTATTACTGACTGGTGCTGGGGCTGTAAGTTAGTGGCACTGGCTTCACTTTTCTTGGACTCTGCAGGCTCTGCCTTGTCTTTCTTCTCGGCCTCTTCCTCTGCCTCCTTTTTGATCTTCATCCCCTGTGTATTATTGCTGTTCCCAGCTGCAGGGGTGCTGACCTGTCCAGAGTGCATGTAACTTGAAGAATAATAAGGATCGTAACCATGGTAATAGGGTGAATGAGACTCTTTTACTTGGGGTGGTTGTACTGGGGTTGAGGAATGCCCTTTTACAACACTTTCCTTATTAGAAATAATATCTGAAGGGGAGCTGGCCTTTGACCTCATGCCCTCTGACCTGCTGTCAGAACCACCATCGTCTGCAGCATCAGAGATATCAGAGTAAGCTGGGCTGTTTGTTTTAGCAGCTGCACCCTCCGCCCCATTCTGTGTCAATACATGTAGTGGCGCCACAGAAGACTGCCCATTCACCAAAGTGTTGCATTCTATTCGGGAGGCACTCCCTATTGAAGGGCTGGGTGCATTGTCTGTGAAAGTGTAAACCTTATCGGCTTCGGCTTTAATACTTGCCATCCTGCTCTCTTGAGACTCTGACAGTCCATTAGCTAGCACTTCATTCTTGCTGAGGTGTTCCTTTAAAAAATGTCCAGCAATCTCTTTCCCAGACCCCTTTGTGTCCTCTAACTTTCCCAGCTTCAAATCCATTTTAGGACTTCCACTCTCTTTGCTTTCTTTGTCCTTCAGCTTTCTCTTCTCCTTTTTCTTTTTGTCTTTGAGTAATGTGAGAGCTGGGTTTACAGTGCTCGGCTCTCCCATAATTGTGGGCTTTGGTTGAATAGGTTTTAATGGAGGACTCTTTGGTGTAGCCTGCACAACAGTCGTCGTTAGTGAGGGCAATCCTGGTATTGTCCCAGCAGTGGTGGTTGTAAAGGCTGCCGTGGGTATAGCTATTAACTGAGGCGGTGTTGGAGCTGGAGCTGGTGCAATGGGCCTGGCAGTTTTAAGCTTTGAAAGGTTTTTATCCACTTTGCAGTTGCTAGCCTTTTTGCCCTTGTCTTTTTCTGCCAGGTTTTTCTTGTCTATCAGTCCTTCAGCCTCTAATTTGGGCATTTCAGCTGCTAAACCACCATCTGTTACTGAGCAATTCTCCAAAGTCACTGTCATATTGGAAATTACAGGTAAGCTGTTCAATTCACTGTTCAAGCCTCTCTTTTTACCAGAATTCTTGCCATGGTTAGCCTGTTCTCTTCTCCCCTTGGGCGTTCCAGGGGTACTGAGAGAGCAAGGAGACGTAGGGGACTTCAGCTGATCAAAATGGGATAAGTTTGTGCCTGGCTCACTGCATTCAAGTGCCACATTGCTTAATGCTTCCTCACAATCTGAAATTTTGTCTTCACTATCAGGCTCAAATTCCAGTTTATTTTCTGGGTCTAAATGTGCATGAGCCTGGTGATATCTCAACCCATTAATGTGCTTATACTTTTTGTTGCAGTTAGGATGGGGGCAATCAATCAAAACAGGAGAAGAACAGCCTTGGTCCAAAAAAATAGTCTCTGGCTTCCCCTGGGGAGTGGTTGGAGTGCTTCTAGAATTGGTACGAACACGCTTTCCAGATTTATTGTCTTCGGAACTGGAGTTCAAGTCTAGCTCCATTGGTGGCTTGCTTTTCCTCTTATTGGTGGACAAGGGACTGACTTTGACATCTTCCAGGGAACAGTTTGGTGGTGTCCTGCGGCCACTTGAATTAAGGCTGCCCCGCCTCCCTTTTCCATTTGCACCACCTCTGTTCTTGTTCTGAAGTCCCCTAGACTCGGTAAAGCTAACATCATTTCCAGGTGCTGCTGCCGCCGCCGCAGACCTTGCTCGTTTTCCTCTGCCCCGACCCCCTCGCATTTCCAGATCACTTGTTGGTGATTCACAAAACCTGTTGAAACAAAGCCAGAAATCAGAATTAGACAGTTCAGGTAACTATCATGATAAACCATAATCTAAATACATATTATAATAACATGCAGGGCATAAAGAGACACCACTGACTTCTACCATATCTTACAAAGAAGAAAAAAGGGAAGGCATTATACATATTTTTTTGGGAAATTCTTTCATCTATACTGTGCTTTCTGGCCCAAAAAAATGGCCTGCAGCTGATTACAAACAAGAGAAAACAACAGTACAAAGCATAAAATGACCCTCAATAAAGCAAGTCACAAAATCCTTCTTTTAAAGAAAGGTCTTGATCAACTTCCTAAATACAGATAGGAAGGCAGCCAGCTGAACCTCTCTTAGTAAGCCTCTCCAAAGAAACAGAAAGAAACAGAGCCACAAAAGAAAGAGAGCCACGAAAGAGGACATTCTCTGTATGGATGGCTACCAGCGGTTACATCTCTGCAGCTGAGGCACCCATCACAGGTCTCTCAACGCATGAGAGGGAACACTTTAATACTAAATTCATTTTATCATCAGAGAAAAAGTTCTCCTCAGTCTAATGGAGAGTCTAGTAGTCTTGTGTATGGTTTTTAGTTACATGAATTTTTTAAATTAGCCACTGTCCATTTTTCATACCAGAATTTGAAGGGGAAAGCAAAGCAAAGCAAATCTGTTTACCTGGGAGGAGCCCAATCGTGCTTAGTGCAATCGAGCAATGTTCCAACATAAGTTTTATTTCGCCATGTAACATTTACAACTAGAACACCTGCAGAAGAGGAGAAACAAAAAAATTATCACAGCTAGAAATTAAAAAAACCTTTTATAAAGAAAAACAGCTAAACAAAGCTCCATTGGCTTTCAAGGGCTGTGGTTTACAAGTTTCTGCTTTTTTTTGGTTTCAGTGACCTCCGATTAAAAGCCGCAGAAAAGTATGCCTGTGTGTGTGTGTGCATGTACACAAGAGACATAGAGACAGAGTAATCAAGATACAGCTGTGAGATGGTTTTTGCTCTATCCTGCAGTAAAAAGGCAACATTTACCTCTTAATTTTGCTATTATTGTGCATAATTACTTTTGTTTGGCAGTCAGCTGGCATATATGGAGCACCAGTAACCAGTGCTTAAAGCAGCAGGCGATTTATGAAGAATCTGCTTTGTCTTCAATAATACTATAATATTGATAATAGCGATTTCATTTATTTCAAATTATACTGCAGCATACCATTAAATACAGATGACTTTTACATTTTATTTATGTTTCAATATTGGAATTCTTAAGAACCAGCAAATGAGAAGCATTTGGTAAAGATAATGCATTGTATTTTTTTAAACCATCTGCCATTTCTAAAGCTTTGTCTGGGTTTTTTTACACCCAAAATATCCTGAGATTTGTTCATCCTGAAAATCAGTATGCCAATCAACAGACTTCTGTAGTCCTTTCTTAAACAGAGACCTATCTGTTTTTTTCTTCAGCACTGCTCATGTGCAAAGACAATTTATAACAATTAGGCTTGTGGGCTAGAGAAACATAATGATATCTTTAATTTAATAGATATGGTACAAAACAGTAATTTCTTCCCTCAGAATGTTAAAATAGGCAACAAAAAAGACCCAAAGCAATAATACTGCTTAGAAGCAAGTAAGTTCTTTCTAAACACAAGGTCTGAATGAGTCACACCACACCTTTGCATCCTCTGATTCCAATTCTGGCTTTTTAAACAAGCAAAATAACACACAAATAAATAAATAATGGCATTGTGCTTCATGTTTCCAGCTTGTCGGTTTGCTTTACGTCACCACTGTGATTTCTAATTTTGCATTAAACCTTTCCCTAGACTGCTGCACCAAAGTAAAGAAAACATGTAACCTGCAACTTATTTCCTCAGGGTCCTTTTAGCAGCAGGAAAGTATGTTGAAATGCTATTAGCTGAAGTACTAGGGAAGAAGGGATTTCCTTTAAGCGTTTTCAACAACATATCTGGAAAATAAAATGGTTCCCTGCATGGTTTCAGCTTGTTATTATACAACGACAGTAGGTGCCCATACAGAGCATAAATATCAGTCTTCTTGTTTAATAAACCTCATATTAAAAAAAAAAGATAAAATTCTTACTCATCAATTAACATTATTCTAATGTGTTGTATTCTGCTTTTAGCAAATTGTAACAGCTGGGAAAACACATTTTATTCCCACTCTCCCTCTGTGTTTTTTTTTAAAAAAACAGCACCAGATAAACTATGAAAAAAGTGGTCTGTTTTCCTCATCATTTGCTCTCTAGGGCACCGTGTGTGGTGTCAGAGACCTTTCCAACTGCTTAAAATTCTTCAGCATGTCAGCTACATTTACAGCCCTGGAATATATTTGTATTGCCAGAAGGTTACCGCATTTTAAGCTTGAGAAGCAATAGGCTGAATTACTTTGTTCCAGAGCCTCTGATGTAGCACAAATGTATAATTAAAACTGCTTGAAAGGGAGACATGAAAGAAACAGCAAACCCTCCATTCTTGGAGTAATAAAATTAAAAACAGGAAAAGTCTGCACAGACACTTAACATTTGTCTGCAGTGAAAGGCTTTTGTTATTGCCTTCCCCTAAGGGCTTCATATTTCCAACAAACACAAGCTCTGGATTGGCCAATGCCTGCTGGGAATGCTCTTATCTGATTGGCTGGACTGAATACTGCAGCACAGGCCACAAAAAGCAAACTTCAAAGGAAAACAATGATACAACACCACAGTCCTGTGAAAGGAGCAGGGGACAAGGTAAGGGAAGAGAGCAAGCCAGAAATACTCCCAGCTGTGGTGGAGGCTTGCCTAATGCTTCCTGTCTCAGTAGACAAACCATTTGCTTTAATCAGGCTTGAGAATGTGATGAAACGTTACTGTCTGCTAAACTGCACTGCATTTATATTGCACCATGCCAATACAGCATTTAATTCAGTGCGGGGGTGGGGAGAGTGGAGGATACGGAGATCCCAGAACAGTGGCATAGAGAAAAAGAATTAAGTCATTGGCTATCTAGGTACTGAGTAGTGTCCAAATTAAAGTGAAACCCTCCAACGGTAAACTATTCAAACCTCCTGTGACTATTTTAAGAGCCTAGTAAAACCTGCATAATATTACAAACTGCAAATATAGCTATTTGAGTAAACATTTCTATATCTGTGAACAAAGGGCTTCCTTTCGTGGATATATAGCATCAGACTCACAAACATCCAGCCCTTCATGACGAAACAGGTTTTGGCAGAAGCGCTGCAGAGTCTCAGCCTTAGTTGGTACAATTTCATTGGAGAAACAGGGATCTGCACTTTGCCAGTGTGCCATGGCTTCTGCTCCAGAGTGCAGAATGAGGCCTGCTTTAGAGGTTACTTTAGCAGCATGCTTGAACTCAGCTCCATGGGGTTAGCTGCTTGGGTGGGACACTCCCCCCGATCCTGGCTGATTTTAAGCACACCAAGGAAATCTACCACAGAATTTCTCTGTGAATCTGCTACCCATACACACACGCAGTCCAGACTTGCTTCTAAATAGGAAATACCAGTCTCGGGACTAGTTCAAACACTAAGCAGTTGGGTATCCAATATGTGAGCAGCAAAGCTTTGATTCTCTCTGAAAATGTTCTTATGTTAAGCCTGCTCAACTAGTTGCGGGGGAGGGGATTATTTTTCAGATATTTATTATATGTTGCTATGACTAGCATGGCCCTGACCTGGATGGCCCAAACTAGCTCAGTCTCATCATTTCTCAGAAGCTAAGCAGGGTCAGCCATGGTTAGTATTTGGATGGGAGACCACCAAAAAGACATCCAGGGTCACTGCACAGAGGCAGGCAATGGCAAATCACCTCTAAACATCCCTTGACTTTAAAAGTCTATGGGGGTCACCATAAATTTCTGTGACTTGATGGCACTTCCCACCACCAACATGACTAGTTCCCTCTTAATAAACCATAGAGAGAAAGTGCTGTTTGAAACGCTCTTCAGAAAATTATAGAACAGCTTTCATATTTGAGCCAAAAATGCAATTAAATCAAGATTTTTGTATAACAGGGTTTAACTATATCTAATTCTGAATTTACCCCCAATGTGGATAGAAAACCCCAGAGAATGGAGTCAGGTTCAGATAGGGAGTATTCTTCTGTAGACATGGAGGACCCCACAAGTGTGCAGAAAAATGTGAAAAGTGTAAAAAACAAAACCAAACCAGGGACTTTCAATCCCCTCACCAAGAAAGGAATGTTACCTGTGCTTGTGGAACTCATTAAAGGAGTGCCCCATGGGCTGAAAGTGGGTGGAGGAGAAAGAAGCTGCTGCCACTTGATTTGGACTGGCTGGCAGGCAGGCAGGCAGAGGGGAAGGAAGTCACATGAACCAGGCAAATGGGCGAGGAGGAGGAGGAGGAGGAGGGAAATTAGAGCTGCTGCTGCCGCCACCTCCCCGCCCCCAGTGGGAGCCAGGCAGCCAGTGGCAGTAGCACTGCAGGCGATGTGCTGGCAGGCCCAGTCAGGGAAGTAGAGGAAGATAGGATTCCCAACCCTCATAAATCGTGTCGGTCCCCACTTGTACATATTTTAATCCTGTTACTCCTCCCCTTCTTTTTGTATTGTTAAGGGGTGGAGAACAATTATTGTTTTAATGCATCATTTGAATTACTAAAAATAATCAAATAATATTTTCCTATTCAGTTTATGTTTTAAAAGAGTAGATATATATATTAAACAGATTAATTCATTGCATTAAACAAAAGCTAAAATCAAATACATTCTTGAAACAAGGGATAAAAACTAAGGAGATGGATATTTTCCTTCTAGTTGGCTGGAAAAGGACTGATTCATTGCACTACATACATCTGCTTTCCTGCCTTCAGTCACAGGAATGTTCTCTCAGCGCAAGCAACCAAGAACATTTAATTCTGTAAAACTACTGTAGAAATGGGTCAAGCAAATAAACTGCTTCACTAGGAAGCATGCAACTGGAAAGAGAAGAGCGGCAGAGGGAAATGGATATAATGAAAACACCACCCTTGCTCCCTTCTGCTCTACATGCCACAGTGCTCAAGTCATTTCATTGTTAGCTTTACCTAAATATTACATAGTAGCAAAACAGCTTTCCACTCTCATGGCAATTCAGGTAATAGGGCTAGCCAGAAGATAAGAGTTCAAACTAAAATTCTTCAAAGGGGATACACTTCTGGGTAGCAAGTGTGTGTGAACAAGATCTTGGGATATGGGTGGACTGTAAGTTAAATATGAGGAGCCAGAGTGATACAACGACAAAAAAGCTAATGTGATCTTAGGACATATCAACAGAAGCATAATATCCAAGATGTCATAGTCCCGCTGTACATTACATTGGTCAGGCTGCACCTGGAGTATTGTGTGCAGTTCTGGAGGACTCACTTCAAAAATGATGTGGACAGAATGGAGCGGGTGCAGAGGAGAGTAACGAGGATGATCAGGGGCCTGGAGACCACGCCTTATGAGGAAAGGCAGAGGGGAATGTGTAGTCTGGAGAAGAGGAGGTTGAGGGGGGACATGATTGCTCTCTTTAAGTATTTGAAGGGCTGTCACTTAGAGGAGGGCAGGGAGCTGTTCCTGATGGCAGCAGAGGATAGGACTCACAACAATGGGTTTAAATTAATGGTGAGAAGGTACCAGCTGGATATTAGGAAAAACTTCTTTGCAGTAAGAGTTGTGCAACAGTGGGATCAGCTGCCTAGGGAGGTGGTGAGCTCCCCCTCACTGACAGTCTTTAAGCAGCGGCTGGACAAA